CCGGCTGATTTTTTGATTTATTGTAGAGATGAGGTCTCACTGCCCAGGTGGGTCTTGAATCCGCGGGCTCAGGCAATCCACTCACCTCAGCCTCCCAAAGGCGCGGGATTACAGGCTGAGCCACCGAGCCCGGCAAAAAACCTGTATTTTTAAAAGAACAGTTATACAAAAAAGTATAAGGTTTTAAAAATTCTTTTTCTTTTTTATCTTGCCAAACCGAAATTCTATACTCATTAAAAAACTCTCCACTTCTCCTCCTCCCAGCCCCTAGTAAACGCCATTCTTCTTTCTGTCTCTGGGAATTTGACTACTTTAGGTATCTCATACAAACAAGATCATACAATATTTGTTTTTATGTAATTGGTTTATTTTACTTTGCATGATGTCCTCAAGGTTCATCAATGTTGTAGCATGTGTCAGAATTTCCTTCTTTTCTAAAGCTGAATAATATTCTATTGCATATATATACCAGATTTTATTTATCCATTCATTTGAGCTGCTTCCACCTGTTGGCTATTGTGGATAATATTGCTATAAACATGGGTATACAAATATCTCTGTGAGACCTTGCTCTCAATTCTTTTGGGCATATACCCGGAAGTGGAATTGCTAGATCATATGGTGTTTCTATTTTTAATTCTTTGAGAACTTCTGATATTGTTTACCATAGCAGCTGCGTCATTTTAGCATTCACACAATGTTCCAATTTTTCCAAATTCTCACTAACAATTGTTATTTTTCAGTTTTTTAAATAGTAAGCATTCTATTTGACTGTGAGGTGGTATCTCACTGTTGATTTAATCTGCAGTTCATTAACAATTAGTGATGTTCAGCATCTTTTTCATGTGTTTTTTGGTCATTTGTATATCATCTTTTGAGAACCATCTAGTCAAATCTTTTGTTTAAATTGAGTTGTTTGTTTTTTTGTTGTTGACTTGTAGAAGTTTTAAAAAATATTCTACTCCTTATCAATATATGATTTGCAAATATATTCTTCCATTCTGTAGGCTGCCTTTTCACTCTGCTTATTGTACCCTTTGATGTATGAAAGTTTTAAATTTTGATGTAGTCCAATTTATGTATTTTTATTTTTGTTTCCTGTGTTTTTGGTTTCATATCCAAGACATCATTGCCAAATCCAATGTCACAAAACTTTCTCCCTGTGTGTTTTCTTAAGAGTTTTATAGTTCTAGCTCCTATGTGTAGGTCTTGGCTTATTTTAAGTTTTTATATGTGGTTTAAGGTAAGTGTCCTACTTCATATTTTTGCATGTGGATATCCAGTTTTGTTTTTTTTTTTTTGAGTTGGAGTCTCACTCTGTCGCCCAGACTGGAGTGCAGTGGCCGCTCCCGGCCACCGCAGCCTCGACCTGCTGGGCTCAGGGATCCTTCCGCTTCAGCCTTCCAAGTAGCTGGAATTACAGGCATGCGCTACCACGCCCGGCTGATTGTTTGATTTATTGTAGAGATGAGGTCTCGCTGCCCAGGCCAGTCTCGAACCCACGGGCTCAGGCAATCCACTCACCTCAGCCTCCCAAAGGCGCGGGATAACAGGCTGAGCC